CCCCCCACGGGGTCTTCATACTCACCTCAGGCAGGTCCCTTAAAACCTGTGGGGTTTCTTCCCCCCACCTTGCTTTGCTGAGCCCGCGAGGCGGCCCCGCGAGCACCGCGCGGCCTCGGGCACCGCTCACCGGCCCATCGCGGCTGCTCGTCAGGCGGCCCATGTCTAAGCAGGCCCATTTAAACCCACAATCGAATTACAGGAACAAAATTAGAAGCCAGACTGGAGCCACTTTAAAAGTTGCCCCTTATTTAATAATTCTGCCGCGCTTATTTTTACTCTTATCACCATTTATTCTCATTCTGGGCTCGGGCTGTAATAGCTTAGGAGCTTCACTCGTGCTCCCCGCTCTTCCACGCAACGGCTTGTCTCCCTGCGTAGGGCTCGTCTCTGCTTTGGGAAAAGGCATTAAGATAAATAAAGCAACGGTGCAGAAGCAGACGTCTAACTTTAAGGGACTACACCACATGCTCCCTCTGTTTCCCATACGGATAGGGTGGGCTGAAAGCATGAAATTCCTACATCCCTGTTTCATCTTCCTTTCTGCTTCTCCTTGCCGGCTCCTGCAGTTACGGGCAGCACCAGCCAGCAGCAGGAGCCCGACCAGGCGGCAGTGGCCTTTCCCCCTGGAGCAGGGAGCCAAGGGGATCAACAGCCTCTGCGCTTCCTGCTGCTCCGGGGGAGCCAAGCAGGAGAGCATTCCCGGCAGGGAGGAAGCCAAGGCGCAGCCGGAGCTGGCTTGCGCAGAAGGAGCCCCGGGAAAGGCTGCCTCTGCGCTGCAAGGATTTGCATGTTTATTAAAGATGTGATGGATGAGACCTCATTCACCTGGCTGGATTTTCATCAGTGCTTCAGGATATTGCCAGGGGAAAAAAAAAAAAAAAAGAAAGAAAAGAAGAGCTTCTCACCAACCCTTTAGCGTTTAGTTAAGTCTAAACTCCTTCCAGGGGCCTTTCAGAAAACCTAGAGCTGGTGGCTGCCTGTTCCTGAAGGCGCCAGCCCAAAGCAGACCCAGAGTGGGTGCACGGCCTGGGTGTTTAAGATGCCCCTAGGGCTCCAAGGGCTCATCCTAGGGCATCACGTGAAAGCAGAAGTGCAAAACCAGACCTGTTAAAGTACTGATATTCCCCTTGTGCAGTTATTTCCAAAAGGTACCTACTTCTTAGTGTAAATTGAGGGTTAATGCTCCGCTCCACAGCCCTCACCCCAAGAAAAGGTGTTTCAGTCTGTTAACTTTCCCTTACAAGCAAAGCATAAAATATATGTAAAGTGCAATAAACACCTAGTTTAGTGCAGTCACGTCTTTCATCTTGCTGCTAATTAGTATCACTTATAAATTATGTAGACCCACACACACAAAAAATTCTGAGTTTCAGGGCAGCAACATCTTCTTGCCACTTGTGATTGTTTAACCTTTAAAAATGTACAACAAATGTTTCTCTCAGTTCTAGATACTCTTTTTTTTTCCCCCAGTATTTAAATCAAATCAGTGGAATGCTAGATCTGAGCACTAATGAAGCAGTTTTGTTAAAAAAAGAAAATCTACATTTATCGCACGTAAGTTTTAAGGCAGAATACTCATGATTAAAATGCTATTAGGCAAATTGGAGCATGGCTGAGACCCCACCACTCCTCTTGTGAAATGTGGCACATGATCCTCAGTGACCGGGCTTGTTCTGATCTTGTTTTCTCATTTCACCTCCGGCAGTTCAGTGTCCTCATTCTCTGACACTGGTGCATTTTTGACTCATAGGAACAGCATTTCTCAGTATTTTCCCCATAAGCAGGAGGCAGTTTTTGTGAAATGCTTCCCACCCAAGCACCCGATGTTGCCTACCTTGTGAAATACCACGTGTGTGCAGAGGGCTTTAGCCAATGGAGACAGATGTGCCAAAACTCTGCTTCCCTCTAGCTGGGGCTGCAGGCAATCCCCTTTCCTGGAGAAGCTTTATTATTGCCATCTTTCTTAAGGCAAATATAATGAAATGGAGCTCGGAATGGGAAACACCAAGAGCTAGCTTGCTACCTAGTTCCAGCACCCTGAGAAAAAGCCATAGATAAGACAAAGATCCAGGGTTTGAGGGAGGCAATGAAGAATCAATTATAAGGGAAGGTACTTCAGTCTAGTGCTTACTGCATTACAGATGCCGCCTGCCCAGGGCTCCCTCATCCTCTTGCACGCACCCCTGCAGCAGCAGGCTACCTTCTGCTCGGGCTTTCAATCCCGTATTGACCTCCAGGGATTTCAGTTTAGTTCTTCTTTCTCCTCATTTGTCAGGCCTCACGCACATCTTCCACGCTGCAAGCACCAGTGATTCCCCCCCCGTTTTTGCTTCCCTTATCCTCAGACCTGGAGGTGAGGACGAACGAGGACAGAGCAGAACTAGCTCTGCAGGTGAGATGAATTTCCTCCCCCCGCCTCTTTTTGGCCAAATTTTGCTGTTTTCAGCTGCCTCACTCATTCCTAGCTCTTACTCATGCTGCAACGGTGTCATTCCGGTTCCAGGCCCCTGCTGCTACACATTGCTCCATCCATCTCCTTCTGGAAAGGCTGACGTCTCAATTGATTTTCATTTAATGCCGCTACCTCGGAAAGCGGCGCAGCCTCCGTGTCCGGCTGGGACCTCGCTAATCCCACTAAAACCAGTCGCGCTCCAGTTGCCTTTCCTGAACCCGAGCTGACCTTTGCCAAGTTTCACTTGAAGCCGCGTTTCCTACAAAGCAGTTTCCTGGTAGGAGCCTTCTGGCAACGCTTGAGAGCAGCAGCAATGGGCTAACAGCGAACAAGACAACATGCCAGGCACTTGGGTGAGCCCTGAGAAACTGCCTGTTTAAAGCCTCATTCAACAGCTTATGGGAGTACTGAAATGCTCTCATTGAATTAACTGGTGTTTGGGCTAGCAGGGCAGTCGCTCTGTAGTCACTTCTATCTACTGCTTTAAGGGAACAGCACTTTTTCATCTCCTGCTCTTTGGTTATCTTACCCTTCTCTAGGCGCTCACAAGATAATCCCATCTCCAACAAGAAGGACAATCCCAGCCTTTGAACAACGCACTCAAGTCAGAGTAACACAGAGAATACAGGTAGAATTAAGGCAAATACACTGAGCACTGTGTAAAAGCTACTACCCGTTTTCATCTCCTAGCATACTGGGGGGAAATGCATTTAACAGGTGGCTATTGGCTTTATGCTTCTCGAGGCTCATGTTTCCAATGAATGCCAGCAAAACAGGTGCTCCCAAATCCATCTGTCCATACATCAACTCTAAATGCTCCCACTACCCCTAATCTTGTCTCACTCCCAGCCCAAGCCATGAATAACAGTGATGTGAAAGAGCTGCGGGTTTTCTGTAGAGCTGGGCATCACAGTGACTATTTCAGATGGAGTTTGCCACAGTAGCTCAACATAAACTGTGACAGCAACCTTAAAAAAGGAGTGAGTTTGAAAACAAATGCCAGCATTGGTTTAATCAGAGCAAAACTCCTGCTTGGACCCATCCTCAGGCTCAGTGCCTACAAATTCACGTGCTCAAGCACCATTTCACAATCAGATATGAAGACACAAACAGGGATGTTCTTGTGGTGCTTGCAAATATTTCATTAAACACCCTATCAACAAATTACTTCCCTGAAAATCCTTTTTTTGGAACTAAAATCTGAGCTAGGAGGGTTCAATAAGTAACGAGATGAAGTCAGCCATGCAGACAAAATATTACTGCGTTATTTTAATAAAATTTTATCACAACAACCTTTGGGGGAAGAGCGTGTCCCGGAGAGTGAGACAGTTAATCTCAGATTTTTATTAATATTTAGAATTTCCTATGCTACGCCCTGGCTTCGGATACAAAGCTATCTTCATTTTGTGGCTACAACAGGACAGATCTGCGGGTGCTTTCATGTCTTGTCTTCTTTTACATCACTCTAATAAAAACAGCCCCATTCCCCACAAAACCCTTTTAGCAGCCCGTCCCTGGACGGGAACAGAACTTTTGGACAAACTGAGCTTACTCCTCAAGCACAGTTTTTCACAGAAGATCTAGTGCCCAAGTCTTTTCAGTATATGATACTCACAATCACTTCTTATGGTGTTTATTACAGTATTTTTCCCCGGTTATGTTGCATGCAATATTCAAAATTCCACCTCGACCTTCTTGAGCATCTATCACTTCTTTGAAGACAACCAGCCCACACTTCCTCAGCATGTACAATCCACCTCTGAAAGTGCAGCCCCTTGTTGAAAAGCATTTACCTCCTGAGTTAAATACAAGAAATTGTAAGAACACTGAGGCATTCAAAAACAAGCTTTACTATATTTTAAAATATATTGTCATCTGGTTTAGCACAATTTATTAATACTTCTGATTTCCAGAGCTTAAACACATTACAAAAGCAACATTATATCTCAGTGTTAAATCAAACAAAAAATTTAAGATTTTTAAAAAATGTGCAAAACTTAAGCAATAAGTTTTATTAGTACAATGAGCTGAAAAAGCAGGGGATTTTCAAAAGAATATTCACATTCAGTGTGCAATTTTTGTCCCTACTTACATCTTTTGATGTGGAATCTGGAATTCCCATCAGTAAGTGCTATCTGAAAATACCAAGTCTGTTCTGTCTGGAGCACTGTTTTGGAGAGACTCAGAGAATGTTTTTAGGTTAGGTTATTACTCACAACTAAACAAGCCATTTAAACTGATTAATGCAAATTAGACCCTGATAAAGGTGAAAGAATATATACTCATGGCATCAGTGTAAATGGTGGCATGGCTGATAACATGTAGCTTATACTAAACATTACAACTGATATTCTCATTTTCCATTTTGAATGCTGTATTTCAGCAAATAACACAGATTTTAAAAGAAATTCTGGCATCTGCTATTTGAAGATGTAACTGAATTCAATAAATTATTTTAATTACATTATTTAACTCATGAGATATCAAGTGCTACCAGTCAAGGCAGTCACAAAGACTGTTTGATGTTTACATAGGCCCATATATGTAAACATCTCCTTGAGGGAGAGAGAGAATGCTCAGCCTGAAACATAACCAGAGTATTTTCTGAACATTTTAGGTATCTTTGCCTTTCACGTCATAAATATGTGCAACAAATCATTAATTTGAGCAATAATGCACAGAATTCCACTCAAGCCTCAAGACGGTGCTATTGTTAATTCAAATCCTCTATGTATAAAAGTATCAAGAAGTCTGTAGTAGTCAATTCAACATTCAAAAGCAGATCAAAAGTTTCATGTAAACTTGTTTTTTTAAAAACAAACCACCACGTAATTTGGCTTTAAAGTGACAAAGTATTTTTCTTAATATAATTTACTAAGCATGCAAAGAACTAACATCAATCTACAGTTCAAAAGAGATGCTGAGACTGGATTAGCTTTGATTCCATAATATTCAATGGAAAGATAAAACTATATAAAGGACCTCTAAAACATGCAATTGTACGTTGTTATAGTGGTATCATTTATTGCAGTAATAATCATCCTTCCTATAAGGAGGCTGCATGTTAACTAAAATACACTATTCTGTTGTAGCTCCCCCTTAGAGAACAACAGTACTCTCCCCCTCTCCCCAAAATTTAATAAAAAACAGGCTAGGTTTTCTATCAAAAGGAAAAGAGAGTTGTACTCACTATCCAGATGGCCATTTCCTAGCATTAATCCAATCTTGTCAACTTATCTACAATTGTTAGGTTTAAGCTAGCAACAAATCTTGCAGTAATTACTCGATGTTAAAAATAGATGGAGTAACTAAGAAGCCATCTTCTGCCTTTTAAAAAAAAATCACCAAAACCTACAAATCAAAATATTTCTGGAAGCATGAATGTCAGTGACATCATCAACTCAGAAACTGAGGCTTCAATAAAAGTTACACACAGCAGAAAATGCCTTCAGATAAATGGAAATAACATCCAACAGCAGAAAGATTGCCTCATATCGAGCCCCGATTCCCTACAAACTGACATGTTTCAGTGACAAACACCATGCACTATTTTGGCCCTGTCTCTATTCCAAAAATCAGCTTCACAAGCTGTTTTAACTTCAACAGACAAGACATAAAATCTTAAAATACAGTGTATGGAGTTCTGCAATCCAAAAATAAAGTATGTAAAAGCAATTTCATATTCTTGCTATGAAACATCAGCTAGAAAATATGAACGCTTATAAAGAAGCCAAACTGCATTTTATGCATTACATCTATATTGATGTAGCTCTCTGTGCCAGTGGAGAATGCAACCTCTTTAAGATATTCAATATATGCAAAGTCCAATTACAATTTGAAGAAAATTCCAGTTTAAAAAAGTTGTATGCAATTTCATACATGACAGGCCAATACCTAAAGACAAATCTCAAACAAACCTGTACAAAATTTGCTTAAAATCACCCTATCCCCCCAAAAGGCACTAAGTGGTTTAAGTGTGCAAATGACTTCTTAGAAGAAAGAGTGTGCAAACAGTGCCTGCTCCTTTAGCTCTGCGTTCTTTAGTAATTTCCTACAGAGTATTGCTATTAATGTTACCTACAGTAAGAACTTCTAAAGAGAGCACACTAGAACACAGTCAGTCCACAGAATCACAGATGTCTTTCACCCTCTGATTGAAGTCTTCAGGCTGATCAGCATACACGTAATGACCTGCACCAAGGATAGCCTGGAGGATGAAGTAGAGAAAGAGGTTGGAAGGAGAAGAATGCAAAATATATATAAAAACACATATATCATTGGGATATGTGAAGAATACACCCACAACAAACTGAGTTTTACACATCAATTTGATACGCTGTTATTTGAAAGAAAAAGCTTCAAAATTGACGCTATCTGCTGCATCCAGTCTGCATTAATGAAGTTAGCCCAGCTGCTGCCAGCAGGTAGCATCATGCAACCTAAAAAGCAATGGTGTAAACTTGAGAAAAATTAAACTTCATTTCACCCATCAAAGGACTCTGTTACACAGGAGAAGGGGGTAAACCCACTGTTTATTCAACTGCACACCTTACTGAAAGTAAGATGTAAGTGCACAAAAGAAACTGCAAAACAAGCTTAGGAGAATGCTTTACATATCAAGCTTTCAGCTGGCCTTCATCCCTTTGCTTCTCTGCTCAAAAAGTCTGCAAAGTGGCTCTTTATTTCTCTGAGCATTTGCATTAGAGAGAACATTTGATCACTTGCATTCCCTTATTAAAAGAATGATACAGAAAAGATTACGAAAAGGTACTGGGATAAATGAGCAAGAATTTAGAGGCTTTAATTGTTAAGGATTTTCTAGACTTGTGGAAAAAGATTTCAATCCTCTGAATTAACTACTATTTTAAGCAGGGAAAAATCAAATCCAAATGATGGAGTATATGGGGGTGGGGGGGAGGAAATCACATTTGGGAACCTTTTCTGACCCAGATTATTTCATTGAAACCATGTAATAAAATTAAGGGCTTAAGTAACCACACATATGGTGGCTAAAGTATTTCTGTAATTTATCACTCTCTGCCAAAACTGTTACGCAAACTGAAAGCAAGTCACCAACAAACTGTCTGGTGAAGGTGCTTGAAATATTTTCTTCTAATGTTACAACCAAGGAACGATTTATTTGTATTCAAATTTACTTTTCCCCTCCCTCACCATTAAGACATTCTCTCTTAAGTCTCTAAAATGAAACATACTGCCTTAAGTAAAGTATGCTAGCATGATAAAAAAAAAAAAGAACTCTTTCATTACAGTGTATTTAAAAATAACCATGCACAATAAAACCCTCAAAACTGCTGTACACTTTACTAAGGTCAGCAAAGCCAACGGTAATAGGAAAGTCTACACGTCAGCTTTATGAGAGCCCTTTCATTCCTTCATTTTTGTGAATGTCTTTCCATGTCCCTGTGATTTTCTCCTCTCCAATTACTTTTCAGAATCTGCATTTCGCTTGACAAAATTTTAAGCTGAATTATACTAAAACATTACCTCCTGTACTTTCTAAAAACCACCAACCAGACTGGAAAAACCTGCTTGCCTGACATATGCTTGTCCTAGTAACTACGTACACCTCTTTAAAGTGATTCTTTTTGTTAAAACTTATTCTGTGGTTAAGCAGCAGGGTGATACTTTCAGTTCTGGATATTCTTTAGCGCACGTAAACAGCTCCACAGCAATACAATTTTTCAAATTTTGCTTGAGTGACTTTTCTGAGTGTACTGAAGGCAGCACACACTGCACATTGCTGTCCAGTTAGGAGTGGACATCAGTAAGAAGACAGCTGGTATATTCTAGCATTTTGTCACCTCACAAGATTGTAATGTATGTACATATCCAATTATCACATCTGGCTGATGTGAGAATGCGTGAAGAATACTTCTGTATTTGCTTGGTTTAAAGAACCCAAACAAAAAATGCAGAGAGTGTGCACATTTGCAGCACATTACGACTGCACATATTTTAAAAGCTAAGGCCAAACCTCTAAACTGGAATGTATCTGCTATAAAGACAAAACTGTACATTTTTGTAATGATTCAAAGAAAGGTGCTTTCAAAAACATCAGCACCAGGCACAGACCACTCCCTTGTCCGAGAAATAAAAGCATTATACAAACAGGCTGGCACAATTTACAATACGAGAGCCTCCTGACCTCTTCGTGCACAGATGCTGATATTAGGAAAGCTGTTGTTTAAAACAAATAAAAAAAATCCTGAATACTCACCAGTGACCACAAAAGTCCTAGCATTAGCATACTGCAGAGTAAAAATAAAAAACTGTTGCAAAAAACACCTTGCTTATAGACCTAATTCGTCTTCTTGAGGTAAAATAACTTTCATTCTTACTTGGCGAACTCATACAGCTTTGTACTATTCTTCTCTGAGCTAACACTTATTTTCTCTTTTTCTATTACATGACAGAAATCAGAAATTTTCATCCAAGGTTTTAACTCAAAGGGCTATTATTCCCACAACTACTGTGGAAAAAAATGCATGAGATGGATATAGTTAAAGCACATCCACACTGATAAACTAAAAAAAAGTCTTAAAAGTCTACTTACTATTGTCTTCACGTATGAATTTGGTCTCAGAGACTGGATAGTGCTGCCAGAATTGCCATCTATACATGAACGTGCTCCATAGACCACAGTGATCGGAATGTCTTGATCCAAGTGTGAAATCCGTTTCAGCATTGGCCTTTTTGCCCATCCATAAGGAATAGTCATATTCTTGAAAGCAGTTTCTCCACTTAGCCATTCAAAGAGAGAATAAAAAAAAAAAAAAAAAAAAAAGATTTAAAAAAAATTCTCCAAAGTCTCTGCCCTTTTCTCCCCTTCTCATACCTTGAACTAGCTTTAAACTGGCATATTTAGGTGACACACATGAAAAATACAATGATAAATGATGCTGGGATTTTTGACAATTCAAATCACAAGTTTTCAAGGTTTGCATGCTATCTTTAACATAAACAGTCTATGTTTTTACAACATGGAGTGTTAACACTTAAAAGATGACTTATTTGTCAGGCTTTTGAAGAACGTCTTTACAAATTACACCAGAATAGCATCCTCTGGAGTAAAAATTAGTGCCCAAGCTCCTTCTCAAAATTAAAACACAAGCAGTTTGAAGTAAACAAAATTGGCTAAAAAAAAAATGAAATAAACAAAACGGGGAGAGCCTCTACATATAATCTCTTTCTGAAATTCAGAAAAACGCAATCTTCTTTCTTCTTCAATTTATAAAATAAAGCATGCACACTGTTACCATGACCATTGGAGGGAGCAGCAGGCTCTCAGTAAATGAGAGACAAATTTCAAAACACACTGGAAAACACATATTCACCTGGGTGTCTGCACATTGCAGTGATAGATATACTCAGTCACAGTGTTATCATCAAACATTGATGAGTATTTTCTCTTGAAATCTGGTCTTAAACGCTGCACAAGGCTTAATCCTGTTAAACAGAGAACAGTATTATAGGAGGAGCTGGCATTGACAACTTTTTCAGGTTGCCTAATGCTTTTCATTAAAACCCCCCAAAGAGACTCCCTTGCACCTTGGGGCATTTGGCAATTTGTAAAGAATGTTTTGCTTCATCACTTGCATGTCTCAGGAAAACACGATGGCCAAACATGATTGCACCAAACAGGAGCTAAGTATACATTTTCTAAATGATTTCATGCTGCACTGAAGCATTGGCACTAACCTTGCTGAATATGTTTGGGGCATGTCTGCAAAGGGCCACCTCAGCAACAGAAGAAACATGAGAAGGGCAGCACCAAGGGGGCTAAGCTGATTTTTTTTGTCTCCAGTTTAGTTCTACAGAATACCAACACTTTCTTCCCAGTTGCTCTGGCAGCAACTAGGTGAGACAAGGACATTTCAGCTTTCATACTGGAAAGGCACTGCTGGAAAAAAAAAAGTTGCTTTCCCTCCTTAGATATGCTTCTACTGCCCTTTCACAGAGCAGTCTTCTTCTGAAGCTAGCTCATCTCACCAGCTTTTAGCTGAAAGAACAGACGTCCTCGCTGAATAACTGGTGTGGAAACCTTGGTATGTGTAGAGAACATGATAAGTGGTATAAAGGTAAAGTTTTAAGCTAGTGAAGTTGTTCTCCCCATGCTCTCTTCACAAAGTTAAGCTCCTGCTCTGAAACCCTTTCTCAAGGAAAGCATCTCTTCTAAATGAGCAGGCAGATCTCAGGACAAGTGCTTTAACAAAGGCTGATTTTAGCCTATGACTATTATTCATCTCCTGCTGCAGAAGCAGCCTTCCAGTTTACCACTTAAGTTTATAGGCTGAAAATATTGTTGTTAATCTGTGCAATTATGATGATGTCACTTCTTCCTACCTGTTCCAGGCCAAAGGCCTGTGACTGTTTATGCAGAGCTCGTCATGGTGATCTACACTTTTGTAACCTTGAGATTAGACTGTTACAACACACCTTATGTACGCTTCAAATCAGGTTTTAAATTGAACACAGCACGGGAGGAAACAATTTCTTTACGAACCAGAGATTTAAGTTATGAAGTAATGAAGATTTTGCAAGTATTTTGCAATTTGTTCTATTGCCTGCATTTTCTCCAAAGAGATCAAATTGCTCATTTTTTGACCTTTTTTTCTAGCTTTGACACATAAATGTTGCATTGATTTGGAATAAGAGTGCATGAAAGAGACTAATGCCCTTCCCTACTGACTGCATAAAAGCCACAGTATCTCCACTTCCAATAGCTAGGGACTGAAAATGCCTCCATTTTAGGACTCACTTTTAATTTTGTTAAAAAGCAAATGAAAAAGTGTTTTCATCAGTTGGAAACTGTTCTTTCCCTAGAAATTTATAGGGAGAGAATGAAACAAGGAATGAACTTTGCAATGAATTCATACTGATTTATTTGTAATGCTTTTTGAAGACACCCTCAATTGTTTGGCCAATGATTCCTGCAGTGTCTAGGGTAACTCCAGAAGAAATACTGATATTAAAGGCTAAGGCGTACAGGAGGTTGCGGTCACAGTGCTATTAGTGCTGCCCTGAGAAATTATAAGCAGTCAGCTCTAGCAATGGAATTCATAAATCCAAACCAAGCCCTTAAGCCCCGTACGCTCTGAGCTAATGGCTGACTGTTCCCGTGTAGGAAAACAAGCGTGTCAACTAATTGGAAACTATTTAAAGAAAAAAGTCCCTCTCAAATTCCGTCTCCCTCCCAGGCTTGGGAAACTGCCTGCCAGCCTGAATAAATAGGCATGTGACACCAGCACAATGCTCCGAGAACCCTGTCCCCACTTCAATACGTGACATGGAACACTGGACACGAGCGGGTGGCCCCACAGGGAGGACGCGAGAGCCCTGCCAGCCAGGACGGGGACACCCGTGTCTGGCTTAATCAGCACCTTCACCAGGCTGGGTTCAATGCCTGCTCATGCCCAACACCCAGGACAGTGCCTTAAACTTACACTTCTCTCTCTGAGAGCCGAGTCTGTCAAAAATTCCATGCTGTGGCAGTGCTGACATTACTTAGTGGAAAACTGAAGTGAGAAATGGATGGAAAAGGGTGAACAACAGGGCTTTCAGCATCAACCTACTGAAAAGGGTATGTTTGAGATACCTGTGCAAGACATGGCCTAATCCTGAGCCTGCTTATGACTCCATCTGCTTGGTAAGGGAAGCACTTCAGCTTTGAACTCTTCCATGTGAATGGATTTATGCATGTGTTACTGGATAAAATGCCTACATCAGTCAAATCCAAATGCACAAAAAGAATTCAGAAACAGATGTAGTTTAAATGTAAACAAAGACTGGAAGTGTCACTAGTTTCTTTTTAAACTGAACACTAAAAACGAGGGAGAAGTGAATGACAGCTACGGAAGATATTTTAAGAAAAAATGTATTTGGATTGTATATCATATGTATTTATTCCTAGGATTAGGGCCAATATACGGTTTATCTAACATCTCATCAGAGATGGAGAATAGAAAGAAGTACAAAACTGCCACTGTAACACAGGACACAGCTGAGAGAAAAACAGCAGAGAGGAAAAAAAAAAAAATCCCAAACCCACAACAGTTTCAGCTTAATTTCTATAAACGCAGGCCAAAGAAAAGCACATTTATGAGATGGTATTCTAACATTATTCTGATCTGGAAATGCTCTTTGTCAGTCAAACTGCAAATGGAAGCGAAATTAAATGGAGTGTAACTAGCGGCAACTAGGAAAAAAAAATCTGTTCACACGGATGCATGTTTGTTAGGCCTCCCTGACAGATGTCCACATAATCTGTATAGTTATAAACCGAAGTCTATAACCGATGCTATAAATTATCATATTAGTATTTCTAACAGGAAGATCTTGCTCTCGTCTTAGAGTTCGTTCTTGCTCAAGTCCTCATACCTCTTCCTCCAATTCTTTTCTCTGTGGGTGCTAACAGCTTGCAACAAAACTTATTTTAAAGTCATGTATGCCCCACACGTTTACATCCAAGGAAAACTAGTATTTAAGAGCAGCTAACACTCACCAAAGGGTCCTGCTATTCTCAGCCCAGCTAAAGGATTAAATGGGCTCAATATAGCTCCTAGTGCTTTGATCCACATTGGAATTGGTCTTTCTTGTTCAGCATTGTCAGGCCTCTCTGGAAAACCCCATGGCTCCACTAAGATAAGGTGCTTTACCCTGTTGGCAGAGAAGGTTCAGAGGTTAGACATTAATTTTTATTGGACTGAGAAAGGTGACAACTTGCTATCTATATCATACAACCTGTTTAGTCACTTCTATCACAGTGGCCTATTACCTAACGTCCGATTCATCGATGACTTTGCTTTTGAATGCTGATTAAGGAGAATGCAAAGCTTCTTGCCAATAACTTGTATTCTGTCATGTGGCAAACACAGCTACAAGTAGCTATATTTAAAAACATCTGAAGCTTAACAGGCAATTCCAAAAGAACATCAAAATTGGAAAAAAAGAATAATTTAAGAAAAATGGAAGTTCATGTCAAAAAAAGAAACTCATTATTCAATAAATACCTATTGCCATACACGTTTGGAAAATGTACGTCTTGCTTCTGTCTTTAAAAAAAGGCCTATTTCATAGGCCTTCATACTAAGTATTAGCAGCAGTAGCAGTTTGAGAGAAGAGAAAGGAACTTATTTCAGCAAACTTTTTGAAGTCTTTCTTTTCCATAATAGATAAGCTTTCTATTCTAAGCAAGGATGTAAATTTATCTAAAAAAATTATCTTATCAAAGTGAAATCTGAAGTGAGAGGCAGATTAAAATTCAATGTTTTCTAAATTTATTGATGTAGTTCACAGCAGAAGCTTCAGAGAGACATTTTATAGAATTATCATTCAAAGGAATCTCAGCACAGAAAGCACAGTAGGAGTCTCCAACACAAGCACCTATCAATCACTTCATCCTGTGTATCCCCTTCAAGCAAAAAATACATTTCACCTTGGTGGATTGGAACCATCCTTTTCTATTTAATCCCATATTACACCTATTCTAAGAGGCCTGTCCTAGACACTGACTCTTCACTACAGTTTTGCATATTTAAGGTGGTTTTGCATATGGTTCAGCTTCATTATCTTTACTTTCTTTTTTCTTCACGTCTTCTTTTGCTTTCAAAGCCATGAAGATAGATAGTAAATATAGCAGAGTTGTCAGTGTTTAAAACGATTTCAGAAGTGATTCTGGAGACTACTCTGGATTTTAATTGTTTGGGAAAACAGAAATCAGCACTTAAAATGAATAGTTGAAAAGGATTAAGTTCAGGAAGTTATTTCTTTGCTGTTGGTTCAGCCACAAATGTATTTGCACACAGCAGCACACAGGAATGGCAAGAGAGGACAGGGTGGAGATTAGCTATAAAACACAAGCAGAAGAGACTGGAAGGCTAAGGAGTTCAAGCAATGAGAAGTGGTTCAGCACTATTGATGGTTCAAGACTAAGCGTAGCACAACATATTCATAAATCAAAACAGGATAAACTCTTTTCAGGTTTGGTTTCTTAATAGTATCCTTCCTGTGTTGCATTCCTCCTTCTGGTAATCAAGCCTAAAAGATGATCAAGGACAAAGGGAAGTTTGTCACAGGAAATATTTCCAAAAACATTATCTAGTGGTTTTCTATTTGAAAATCATGTTTTCTATCCACATCCCCAGGCATCTTCTATATGGGAAGCTTTTGGGATTAATAATCTCAGATTATGATGCATGATGATGTTCCATGCACAATTTTAATACTACATAGTAAACGAATAAATCATCTAGGCTAGCAGAAACAGATCTACTCTCCTAACAACATGTATCGTGAATCCCTTAAGCTTCTAATGCAGTTAATCTTGCTGAAGGCTCCCCTATATTTATCACTTGATCCAATATTGTCTTAAGACCCTACCACTAAGTGTGCTAATTTGAAAGAGTGTTAGTTTAACTTTAGAGAAATGATATTAGTAATGCAAGAGCACAAACTAAAACCTTCTCAAATTAGTTAAGCCCCTACTTAAGTGCAGAGAAGCCTGAAAACACCTAAGCGTCACTTTCAATCTAAATCAGACAACAGAAACAAAAACCTGTCCAACATGGGCCATCTATAAATACCCCAGAAGAGCAAACAACTTGAATAGCGACTCTTGCAGGACACTAATTCCAGTTAGCTGGAGTTGCTGGATACCCCAAAGGATAAGAGTTTTATATCCCCAAAGCACAGGACCACATTTCTTGAACTGCACTTGGCTGGAATTCTAGATTTAGACATAGATCTACTTTCAAACATCCTTTCTAGCAGGATGTGCCAGCTGCCACCCAATTGGAATGAAACAGCCACTGATTTATGAATTTATTTTAAAATCTCCGTATCTGAGAGAAAGGTACGTATATGTACATTAACAACACAACACAGATAAAGGTAGTTGTTCTGTAGAGCATACAACGCACTATGAGATTTGGAAAGCTGGTCTTATATTCATGCTTTTAGCCCAACGCAGTAATCACGTACTAGAAAAAATAAATCATGTCACGAATCTGCTGCATCTTAAAATAGGTTCTTTGGTATTGATAAATTTTCTTCCATTCCGACCCATAAGGTCAATAAAAGAGCAGTTAATAAGAACTGTATATAAAAACGTCTTGTCTGCATAGATTGCACCCTGGAAGCAGGAGGCTATTAAGCTTATCTAGACAAAACCAATATCCTTTCTTGCTGTAGAAGAGCCTCAGCTGGTGGTATCCTAGCTCGTCAGAGGCGACATAACCAGCCATGTCCAAGAAGTGGCAAGTTATCATTTCAGGGGAAAAATGGGTTAGCTGTTGACCAGGATGTGTCTGCAGAAAATGCTGATGGATACAATTACAGCACTGCTGCAGCTGGATTGTTTTCCCACAAAGAAATATGAAGTGGCATAGAGACAACTTAAATCAAGCAGTTGCCAAAATTATTTTTATATAATCATGCTGGCACCAGGCTGACTGCCAGCATACAGGCATGAATTACCTCAAGGGAACAGGTTCAAACAGTGCATTTTTATCCATGGTAATGGGGAGTTTGGCAGAAATAGGCCTCTTCTCCCTTGACAAACTTAAGGTTGATCAGAGATGCCACAAAACATTAACACGTAAATACGAGCTTTTCTATTCAGCCTTACAGCATGGCAAGGTGATGTTGAATAAAACCAGTCAGGTACAGAAAAATACACTTGAAGCAGTTTTAATATATCTGTACTTCTACGTCGTATGGGAACAAAACACACAACCGATATTTAATACTGAATTTTAAGCCTGAAGTTTCTTTGAACCAACCGAGTCATCTATTTAACCTATCAAGAACCTGATCAAATTATATTTGCGGTAAAAAACATTAGTGAAATACAGAAAAAGAATTTCTTCATTCCTTTATTTTCACATACCTTGATGGATACTTCAGTGAGTAAGCAGCAGCCAGGAATCCACCTAGGTTGTGTCCGAGTAAAATCATTTTTTCTAACCCCACCTCCTTTCTCCATTCTTCTATGGATTCCACAAACTGATTTTCTGCTTCCCGAGCATCATTGTCAAAGTGTGGTCTACTGCTACGTCCAAATCCCAAGAGGTCAAAAGCATGAACGGTCCTGTTTTCACAGAGGTCTTCAAAATTGAGAGCCCACAGTCCAATGCCTCCTCCAAAGCCATGAAGAAGAACGAGTGGGGTTTTATGAGAGAGGTCTGGAGAGAAGGTCAGAGTCCATATTTTATTCCCATTAGATAGGTACACATACCGTTTGTTGTATGTGCTGGTGATACCTGGAGAAAAAGGGGGGAAATTTTTGATTTTGCTAGATGTGACTGATAAAATATAAAGTGCATTCTAGGGGAAACAACATTTGAAACAGAAGATTCCTTTCAAAACATAGGTGCTAGCATCAAACATCACAAATAAGATAACACTGAAAACCTATTTATAAACCTGCTAAATTCAACACAGTGCAGACCTAAAAACTCAAAAAAACATTCAAATGGAAATCTACAGATTTCAATTTCAAATCAAGTCATTTCTAAGCCTTATTAAAGAACAAACACACTTACATTTCAGCATTCTGTCTTCAGCCTCTTTAAGATGTAGCAGTGATGTGGGACACCAGGCAGGAAGCCAGCTGAATAACCATCCCGACCTGCAACAGCAAAGGAGAATATAAATTTCCCCAGTAAGATAACCACATTCTGCACCATCTGATGCTTTGAAGTTGCTTTTTGTGTTGCTCTTCTTGAAAAAGCACAACTAAATTACACATCATTTAGGACAACAGTGTGCTGTAGAAAGAAATTTACTTTCTCCTGACTTTTTGTGATGCTGCAATGATGAGGGTGTTCTCTGAACAGTGTCCTGTTGCTCCATTATCTGTTCCTTATTGGAGCACAGTGATCTACCTCCGTCACAGCAGGCTTCTCCCGAGAACCTGGAGACATCGGTCCTCACACTGACCCAAGAAGCCTGGCCAGAAGCATGCCACAATTCCTGCAGTTTCCAGCCTCATTTTGAGATTCCTTGGAGGTTTCTCTGCACGCGCGCACACGCACGCACACACACAGACACACACTCTTCTGTATGAATGTGAATCAACAAGAGCAATACACCTCATGTTTGCCAGCTTCATCCAATTGCCAGCTCAGCTATTTTTTTCAGTGAGAAGGTTGCAGATGTATGACCATAGACCTCATATTACTTAGGGAGATAAAGACGAGGTCTCTGAGTTCACAATCATTTTTCTTTCTTTACCTTATTTTTCCCAAATTTAACTGATTTCCAGTGGGCTACAGGATCTTTAAGATAGGAGGCTGAAGTATTAATTGTACCACAAAGACCAAAAAGTTACTGATGTCCCAATTTTCAGAGTTTGCAGAACGCATTAGTAACAAATTACAGGTCTGGCCATTCAAGTTCTTCATCCAAAGAATCTTTCACCTTCCACCTCTCTTAAGCTAGCACAGCCACACAACTGTTTAAGCTCATGCTACAATACGTCAGGGTTTCATATTCCTAGGATTTCTGAGACTGGACAAACCAATTGCAAGCAGCACAGTTCAGATTTCCAGAAATATATTAGGGGACATGAGAAGAGAAGCATCTGACAAAAAAAAAAATCAGCAACTAATCACCCACTGTTACCCAATATGGTTTACTTCTCCAAGAATCATATCGATGCCTGACTTTTTGGAAAATAATGTTCTTAAACCACCAGAATCCTGGAATCATGTTAATGCTGTAGTCTCCAAGAACTTGAAATTGAAAGCCATATGTTCTTTCAGATGCTTCATGTAAGAATGAAAAAACTCAGCATCCTACAGGAATGGGTATTCAAGTAATCTGCTTCCACATTAAGCCACACTTATCTCTTTAAATATCTGCAATATTTTTAAGAGATTGAAGCTGACACCAGATAAAACCAATAGAGCCAGCAAATAACTGTTAAATCTGTGTTTAACAGTATTGTATTACATAATTATGTCCAATTTTATGAACTACTTAGATAAATCATTAAACAATAGCTATGTCACTGCACTTTTAAGACAAACTTTTTTTTTTGTGGTGGTGAATTAGACATTTTCTCTCATAATTCTCAAGTCAGAAGCTTAAAATCTAGTTACTATTTCAATCAAGCCAAAACAATATGAAATGATTCTTTTTAGGAAACCCCTGCATTAGGGAAAGTAAGTCTTCATATTTTCTTTTCGACAGAAAAGTACAAGTGTAACATGTCACCGTGTAACATGTCAACATGAAGACAGTGCAAAGATATGACCCCACGGAAATAGAAATTAAAACTCTGGCCACCTCGAACAGCATGGAGCTTTGAAGGCAGGTAAAATCAGCAACGAACAGCAGAGGATTTGGTGGCCCCCTTGACAACAGACCACTGCATTTCCCTAACTGCTGCTTCTAGCTTCTTGTAGCCATTTGGCACAGAAAACTGGAAGGTAACAGGAAACCCCACAGACAACCACTAAGTGGCTTTAGACATGGAGAAAGTCTATTCCCCCATGACAGGCTCTCGTTGGATTATTCTACTAAGAGACAGCCCCAATCACGTCATTATCCAAAATACAATCAAAAGCAAACAAAAGAATAGCACACGACAGAGTTTAACTAAGAGAAATCCTGCTTACCCAAGGACAGCATTTGATGTTTGAGAACCACCAGCTCATGCAAACAAGTTCATTCCAAATTGAGGAAACTGCAGAAATCCCATACCACTCAACCAAGAAAAATACTGTGGACTTTTTTTCTTTTTTTTTTTTTTTTTTTTTTTAACTGAGCTGTCAACTACAGTCAGCTTGGCTGAGGGAGGCTCGTACATAAGCATGATCAGCACGGAAGCATTAGGATTTAGAGGGTACCACACTATGTTACAGCAAAGCAGACAACTTTACACTTATAAAACATACTCTTTAGAATGAAAACATACACAGCTAAGAAAAATAAATAATGATTATTGCCTGCAGAAATCTAGGGGGTAAAGAATAATCGAGTATTGTGTAAAATGCAACCAGGGATAATACTCATTCTCCTCAGCTGCATGAACATTAATTTGAATCAAGTACTTGCTGTCACAGCGCAGCTTAAACTGCCTAAGGGGAACTTTCAAAAGAAATAGGAGTCAAGCAGAGGCAGAGGCCAATCCGACCCACCCATCCACCTCCACTAATTAGGTCAAATCAGATGAAGAATGTGCCAAAGCGGTAACTCGATACTATCATTCTGCCAGTTCGATTAATCCTATTTAGTGTGCTGAGAATTGATTACAGGCAAGACAATTGATGGACTTACGGCGAGTTACAAATCTGACAGACTCTCAAACAGCTCATGAACGCTGGGTAACATTGACTGACTGAGAACATCTCTCAGTATGCTGAGGGAGACACTCAAATCTCTTCACTGAAAAGAAGTCCTACCACATAAAGACACTTTGAACATTCAAACTAATGGTTTATAATTCTGTCTAGGAGACAATAAATACACATACACACCGCTCAAGCTTCCCATCATCTTATTCACTTTAGAGTTATATGTCTTGTAGGGCCATACATTATTATAAGATTTAAGATCATTCAATAAAGGTACTTTTGTACAGGTAGTGGTAATAATCTGTGGAAGGCCTGGGTGTATTAAAAAAATAAAAGCACAAAATGACAGAGCTCCACTAAATCAGAGCAGATGAGAGCAAGACCATTTGCTATCATGTGATTTGCCACAAGTTACTGACCTACTGAGATGACATACGCTGAGATTTTGCTGTGGCACTGATTGTAAACATCTACTTTTCAGAAAATATCTTGATATTAGTAAAGTAACTAAAACTGTCAGTATAGACCAAAAAATAAGCACTGAACTATCTAGCACTGCCAGGAGTGTGGAAAACAGAATTTCTCATCACAAAGGTTACTTGAAACAGCTGTAACTGGACTTCTGAATTACATCACTGCAAAAATAAGGGCTTAACATATTTTTATTTATATTTCTATAGACAGTGTTGCAAATTACCAATATTTTAGTCATAGTACAAGCTAAAAAACTTTAAAAAGTTGACACACTGAGAAAATCCACTGAAATGATTTCAAGTTTTACCCTTAGATCTTATTAGAATCAAGTTGATGTTTTTGAAATTCCTAACTAATCCTCTCCTGATTTTCAGAAGTAAATGCAGCTATTCATAAGGAAAGAAAAAAATACACCAAAATGCAGAGAATTTGTTGTATTCCTTCTTCCTAACATCCGAATGAACAGCATCCTGATTTTCTGGGCCATCCACCTGCTATGGCTGTTACGAATATCAGCTCATTAGATCTAGCTCCAAATTAATAAAAGCTTAAAATACAATGGAAAAACAAGCCTTAGGTAATTCAAAAACAGCTCAGGTTCCTCCCCCTGATTTCTGCACATGGTATTCCTGAAGTGCTTTGCTAGCAAAGGAATCCAGAAAGTTTCAAAATCAAAATACCACAAACACCATGAGACTTACTCTTCTGAGTCTCAAGTAACCTCATCACACAAAAAAATACTTAGGCTCTGTACTTCAGTGAGATTTGTCATATATGTGAATGCTCCACAGACCTGAGAATACAGTGCTCTGTGTTTTACCAGAACAAACCATACAGATTTACATATTATTGTTACTTCATACATAATATTCAGGAGATTAATATCAAAAAAAAGGAGCAACTACTATTCTGGTTTTAACATTTTTTAAAACTTCAGGAAAAAGTGATTCAAGCAGATATTTTTACAGGAATACTAAGGAAGGGCAGAACAGCAGGAGTAAAAAAGCCTCAGGTATTCCTAACACCTGAGGGGCAAGAGTTCAATACAGCAAACACAGGGCAAAGTAGTAAGACACAACAGAAATAAATCTGATAACTGCAAGTTTTCCACATTTTGCCCAACATCAATAATAGTCTAGGTAAAATCCAAGAAGTTATTAGCATGTTGTTTCTATCATCATCAACAATAAATAAGTACCAAAGAAAATGCTATTTTTGGTCACTACATTTCAAGTTTACTTTTCAAGTAATAAGCTGAAATCAAACAAAGCCAAAGAAACAATCGAAGATGTCAAGGACAGCAGAACCAAGTAAGACTTTGTGGGTCAAAACACTAAGTTGTACACTTTTCCAATCTATTAATTTAATGGTTTGCAACACCAGAATACTGAATACTATTACATGAATGATTATGGCAATAAAAAACACTTATTAACATTTACAAGCAAGACTACCACATACAAAACACAATCAATTGAAGTATATAGAAAACAAACAAACAAACAAACAAAATCTCTCTGCAGCATTTACTATACTCAAGTTCCATAGTGTTCTTTAGCTACTCCCAACTCCCAGGAGGATTTCCTTTGATTGTAGGTTGTTTAACAAAGCTGGAAAAAATGCTTGGGAGAAAAATGCAATAAAGCTACTTCAAGCTAGCATTTGAAAACATGAAAACAAGTTTTTAAAGCCACAGATCATGATGACGGGGAGCAGTAAACAAACATGTACCAGACCTAAATCTTTCCTGGTTAAGTTGACTTTTAACCTTCAACATTATCTGGTAAAGTGATGAAGAATCTATTTTTAAATGAGGGAGGAAGATAAAACATAAAGAAGTCTGCATATTAGTCCA